AAACGACCCACTCCGTACAACAAAGTCACACACAAGATGACAACCTGACTTCCCATGTAAGATATACCCATCTCATTATTTCTGTAACAAAACGACCCACTCTGTACAACAAAGTCACACACAAGATGACAACCTGACTTCCCGGCATGTAAGGTATACCCATCTCATCATTTCTGTAACACAACGACCCACTTCGTACAACAAAGTCGCACACAAGATGACAACCTGACTTCCCAGCATGTAAGATATACCCACATATCTGATATAACAGATTTTAACAGTGATGTTACCAGTGACGAGAGACTATTAAGCAATTAAGAAAGTTTGCTACTTTCCACTGTTTACGGCATCACATCAGCATTGATGTTTTGTGATTGGATAAAAAGTCTGATCATTTGTAAAGGAAGGTGAAATAGAAACAAAATGCTAAAATGTCATCATTCAGATTTGTTGTTTCATCAATAGGATATGAAATGTGAAATAGTTTATGATTCTCCCTGATACTCACTGTGATATCTTTTTGTCCAGAGAAGAGTTAGACACCTGGTTCAATGTTATTATTCCTGCCTGTCTTAAATCTTTTCCTATATTAGCAGCTAGCTGCTGAAGGACACTGCACTTGTCACCTTGATAACAGACGGCAATCTTGTAAGGGGTAAGTCTAGGATGGAGTTGCAGGCACTAAAATACAAATGTATAAATCACAGTAACCTGATTTAAAACCAACAAAATTTAAAATGGCATTTATCTTATACATGTACATCTTAGTAATTTTCAGAAGAAAAATTACTTAAAACAATTTAGAACCAAATATCTCACAATGTACATTACTTAAATCAACTATTAATCCCTCCTCTCATTATATAAAAACTCACAAAAGATTCGTTGGTGCCATTGTTTGATGATCCCTGGTATCCTGGATAAGCATCCAACAGGAAAGCCAGAAAGCCTTGCTCTAAAATGGCATTACACTCAACCACAGAGGGGAGACTCTTCTTCTTGCCATTGACAAACTGTAAATAACCAAGATTATACCTGATCACTACTTTATATCAGTAACAGTTAGTACACAAACTCCTGTAATAAGAATTCAGTGTTTCCATGCTAAGACTTGGGAACTAAGACCCCAGGGGTAGAGGCAGACCACTGAGCAAATCTCGATAACATGAGTGTATTTGTCTCTTCATGCATGTGGTTACATGGTTGGATTAAAATTATGGAGCTGAACACCCAAAATTACTTTATCATGATTATTTAGCCCTAGGGGTTGCACCACCTGAATTCAAACATGTTCATGTTGCCTTAGTGATGTATCAAAACAACTCATTAGCTTACAATCAGCCATTTAGAAGTAGGATTTTGGAGTAAAACATGCCCCACACACATCATTAATACAACATGAATGTTTTGGCAAAGTCATATGATTCAGACCAAAAATGGTATAAAATCTGTACTGTTGTTCAGGAGGAGTGAGCTTTTAAAGATTTGGCCCATCTTACAGCCCACCCCTCTGGCCCCTGCAACCAGGAAATTAGAGCCTTTATTTATACAAAGTTTGATTTCCTTGTCCTGCTGATGTTAAATGTTTAACTTGGTTAAAATCCATTTGTCCCTCATGGAGAAAAAGTCTTTCTGAATGCTGAAATTCACCAATTTCCTCTTTGTGTCCTACCCCTAAGTTCCATGGGGACTACACCCTTTCTTAATACACAATTTGCTTCTTTGGCCCAAAGGGTGCAACAATGCCAGTTAGAATAAAATGTGATCAGTTACTCAATAGGAGTAGGGTTTTAAAAGAAATGTTTGACGGACATATCAGGGGAGCTGTCCCATGGCATTAGAGCACCTGTGCTTCAGAGCAGGTGAGCTACTGTCACTGCAAGCTGATTTTGAGAACAAAACTAATTGTTGTTAGTCACACTCAGCAGATGGTCGCTATACACAGTATTATTATACACCAAACAGGTAGTTATAGACAGGTAATTGATACAGACAGGTGGTGGCTAAGGCAGGTTTGATTGTACATATGTAGTACAGCAGTCGACCTACTTTATACCAGAGAGACTGGAGAAGGGCTTTCTGGAGACTTTTGCAGACATCAAGCACATAGGGATTTGATCTAAATAACAAGTCATCCTTTTTAGCATCCCCACCTTTTTATTGCAATTCTTAAAGCACCATGGGTGCTAATTATGTCAACTAAATTATAATTATGTCAACTACAGCAATCAGCAATCACCTTTGTTTACCTACTTGATGTTCTGACAGCAATGTTTCCCTGTAGGGCTGTAGTGGGGCGTCTCCCAGGCTGGTCACCGTCTCCACATCATCTACTCCCCAGGGAAATGAGTACTGTATGTTTGAATGATAGCCTGTTTCAGTTTTTTCTATGTCTGTTGCTGAAAACTTAGCTGGATTTCCAGAGAACTGAAACAAATTTGTTATAATACAGAAACCTGCCATGTGGTTAATATTTTTTTAACAAAATAAGTTATTCAATTTAGATGGAAATGTTTATCAAAGTAATACATAATTACAGCAAGGATACATGTCTTAAGTTTTACAGCAAGGATACATGACTTTACCTTAAAGTATGGATACATGACTTAAGTCTTACAGCAAGGATACATGTCTTAAGTCTTACAGCAAGGATACATGACTTTACCTTACCTTACTTTACATGACACATTATCCACTGATGATATGAAGGTTTTATTGAATTTTGTTTAATGTCACCATCTGTGCAGCATTATGGCCAAGACCAATAACGAGTTGACCTTTGGCATCTAAATACAAATTTTGTATTTGGGTCTTTAATATAATCAATACCATGCATGTCAACGTGTCTTTAAGTGTAACAAGTTTCATGAATGATATGCATCAAAGTTGGTAAAGACAAACATGGATGGATGATAATACTTACCATCAAAGTGGTACACCTACCTGTTTCCACCACTTGAGGCGTGTTCTGATGGCGGAGTCTAATGTTTGGGTGACAGCAGTGGCCTGACAGAAGTTCTGCATCACAAGGCTTGTCTTCTTACAGGAACTGAAATCAACAGCAACATGAAGTATACTGAAATAGTGTTCTTTTCAAGCATAACAAATGAGTAAATGACACTAACAATCACAATAAGGTGGGTATGTATGTATAATTGGCACGGCAATGCCTAGAGTAGAGCTGAGGACAATAAATTGAGGAGCAAAATCAACAAAATGATCTCACTTGAACAAGAATTTGTCTGTGTGTCTGTCAGCAGGTGTGTGGACGTAGCTCCTACTCTGGGTGATGGAGAAAGGAAGGCTCCACTCAAGCTGTTTGGAAATTTCCAAGAAGTAGTCCCAAGTGGAATCTGAAGAAAACAAGTTATTTTTATATTTGAAGCAAGACAAATCTTCCTTTTAGTTTGATCTGTAAATTATACTGCTACAATGTATATACCAATTACCTTCACTATCTGTACTCTCCACAGGGAAGGTGTTTTCCTGGGATGTGATCATCCATTCCCACCTGTCATAATAAAAATCATGTCTTTTAATAGTGAAGTGTCTGTAATTCAAATGATTTTGATGACGTTATTTTTGAGAAATCATTAGATTATTCTGCATGATCAGTACAGCTTCATACTACAAATTGTACCAGTTAAGACTAGGGCTGCAACAATACGCATTCCACATGATACGATACGAATCACGGTAAAATGCTTTCCATACGATATACAAATATCTGATTAAAAGGTCAACTTCATATTGATTGAATGCAGGATTTTTTCATGACTTCAATAGTAAATACTATCGAAATATATTTTTGTATAATTTCTAGTACTTTTGGATATGACTGCACAGTGGACCATATCTTTACTGAAGAATTGAAAAAATATAAGTACACTTTTTTAGTAGTTTGATAAAAATTCATAGATAATATAAGTACTGTTAGTGTATCACAATACAGGCAAACAAAACAATTTGATACGATACACAAGAAAGTATTGTGATACGATACAATACGCTATATCGTTGCAGCCCTAGTTGAGAATTATATTACCTATACAACATTTACCACTAAAGTACCATGCTACGATATTTACCAATCACCTATCATACTGACGTACTTACTAATGACATCAGGGGTGTACTATTCCACCTACCCAATGTCCGAGGCTAGTAAGTTTTAAGTTAGTACTGGTGAACACTTTGGATATATATACTATGAAACATGGAACAGGCTAGCAGGTATTTTAGTACCACACTTTTGACAAATAATTTTAGTGAAAATATGATGAAAAAAATGACATAAATTACACAGGAGGCCGCTGACAGTATGTACATAATTTCCATATCAAATTGAATTGTTTGAAATACTTCATTTAAAGCTGTTTTACATTCCTATATTAGTATTAGTGCCTGTCTGTTATTCACTATTTAAAAAGGCTTGATAATGAATTTACATATCATGCTTAAGTTCTGTTTTACAATTGCAGCCTAAATCATATGCCTACGGTACTAACCAACATTGTGCTATGTTTCTTCTCAACAGTGTGCCAGCTGGTCCATAGCTGTACATAGGTGTTGATAGGTCCTGCTTTACGAGCTGCACAAATCCTCTTCTCTTCAGCAATGTAATTATTTTGGTAAAAAGTTCCTTATTCATATTTGCAGGCTGTGATCTGTCCTTAATTCATATCTGAAATTGGAAATACATGTCTAAACAATTTGTGGCAGATCCAAGAGACCAATCCTTAATACTCACTCAGAAAATATCTCTTGCATTGTATGAAAATTGCTTCTTCCTCACAGTTATTGGGGAACAGAGCACTCCTCTATATTGGGTAGCTTTCTACTAATATGTCCAAGCGTCCTCAACACTCGAGACGTTACACTCACTTTTTGCAAAGAGTGTAAGTGAAAGTTTGGTTTGTTTGCTATTAACCGCTATGTTCATTAAGGATGTGCCAGGTTTTCTTTGTAAAGGAAAGCTGAAGTACCTCTAAGAAGAACCACCAACTTGTGGCAAGAACCCCCACCCAGTGTACAAGTGCTAGTGATTGTAAATGGTCCCCATTAAATGAATGTTACAACTCCTGGAGTTTTGAGGATAATGTCAAAGTGAATATGACTCAAATGGGTTCTAATGGAACCCTTATGTGAAATTTGAGAAAAATCCCTCCAATACTTTTTGAGCAATACAGCTAAATAAACAAATACTCCAATATTCAATATGACCACCTACCAGCCATCTTGGTTTTCCAATCATTCCCAAATTTCAAAATGTGGAACTAGAAACCACTAGAACACCTCCTGAACATTCTGAGAAATAATGCTAACAAACTTTCATTCTCAAATTCTAGATGGCCGTCTGTCGTTTTCCCTCCTGTTCCAAAATTTAATATGCGTAACAAGGGACCAGGGGGAACTTTCATGTAGATTTGAGAAAGACTGACCCCTAAAGTACTTTCTGAAAAAAAGCGCTAACAAACTTTAACTCTCAAATTCAAGATGGCTGTCTGTCGCCCATCTTGGTTTTGTGATCAGTCCCAAAAAGCAATATGCATAACTAAGGACGACGGGGAGCCTTTATGTGAAATCAGAGAAATATCCCTCCAATACTTTATGAGAAATAGCACTAACAAACTTTCATTCTCAAATTCAAGATGGTTGGCTGTAGGCCATCTTGGTTTTGCGATTAGTCCCACAATAGGATATGCATACCAAGGGATCATTGGGAACCTTCATGTGAAATTTGAGAAAGATCCTTCAAGTTCTTTCTGAGGAACAGCACTAACAAACTTTAACTCTCAAAATTACAAAAAAAAAAAAAAAAAAACATCATAACTCGGTCAATTTTTTCAAAAATCAAATTGAAATTTGGTATAAAGGTGTATTATAGTCATATTAACACCATATCTTCTGATGTCGCTTTAATATTCAGTATTTTTAAAGATTTTGTCTGGCGACGCTTGTTGTCACTTGAAGACGCTTTTAAGGAGGACCCAAATATAGCACTAATCGCCACATGGCATCTCCACTAAGGACAAGCAGTCATACCCCTATACGAAATTGGTGACTAAAGTGTCCTAAAAAACATGTTGTTGGTTATTTTTTGTTACCTATTGTGTTTGTATTCCTTGAAACAGACATTCGATACTAATTCAAGTTATGCTTATCAAACTTACCGCTACCTACCGAAAACGAAAGCAGACATCTGCTTCCGGTTGACTCCGTGCGGAGGAAGTTGTAAACCCCAGAAAAAGGCACGTTGTACTTCCTTTTCACATCAAACTCCATTTGGCGTCAAACGCATAACGTAAGGCTCGTGCTACTTTTGGAGTTTATGTCCCCTTGTAGTCTGTCCTTCTTGACATTTACAACCAAAAAACTTCCTACATATCTTGTATAATGATAAACATGACGTAAAGTACATTTAACATGCTATTTTAGCATCAAATATTGGTAACTTAGAAGTTCAAAGTTATTTTATAAGTAACGACAAATTGAAGAGGGGGGGGGGGGGGCTTTACGACGACAGCAAATCACAGGAGCCTGAATTTCTGTGAAAAACTCATATCAACAGTAATACACACAAAAAATATGCTTAAAAAATATTAACGTATTTTTTTGTATTACTGTTATTATTAATTTGTCACGGAACTTCAGGCTCATGTGGGTAAATGAAAAAAACCAACAGCGTCTTTGACTTATGATAAGACTTTTGAGCCCTTGAAGCGAAATTTTTCGTAAATTTAAGATTTAGAATGAAATTATAGCAACCATAATTTTCAGGTTATTTGCTTAAGTGTAGAAATAGAAGACGACAAGACCGCCGTTACCTTGGGCCGGTTACATTCGACAGTTTATTTCTTGTGTGTAAAACCCTTAAAATACAAATAAATGGGTTTCTGACAATATAACGAAGACAATAGGATAGACAACATTTTGAAAAAACGGAACGCGCCTTACATTAACACATTTACATTATTGACGACAGACTAACACAACAAAGTTGAAGATATATAAAGCATAATTAAGCAGTATATAATTTATATTAAACAGGAATCCTATTGTATAAGTTTATCGTTCATATGAGAACTATGAAATAACTGACCCTTATGTGAGCCTAGACTTGGTGGCTGACTTCTGCTTCAGACTTTGTAATCATTCAACCAACACTTCTCCACATCCAAAAGCATGGATGGCCAATAGAATCTGTCCCAACATACATGGTCCTTTTAACTCCCAGGTGTTCCATATTGTTGTGAAGGCTCCTTAACACAAAAGTAACAAGGTCCTGTGGAATAACTATCTGTTGTTTCCTTTCCCTTTCCATAAGTGTCTCCTGGTACAGTACTCCTCTGACAACTATAAGGGAGTCATACTGTCGGTACAGATGGGGGTTCCAAGCAGATGCATACAAGCCCTGGCTATTGCATGGATGCAAAATGCTTTTAAACACTTTCACAACCAGTAGAAAGTTGACATGTACATGCTCCACACAAAAGGTGTGCAGTGTGACATTGTCATTTTTTCATCAAAATGTGTTTGGTACCATAAAGTTTAAACAGTAAAGGTTTTAATGAAGTTGTGCAGTGTACCAAAATAAGATGCACTTTGTGTGGAGGGGACATATTTTTGTTGGACAAATGAAATCTCTATTTCATATATCTTATTGCAGACTTGTGTAGTTTTTCAAACATTTACCAATTTAGAAATGCAAATTATATGCAGTAACCTCCCCCTTCCCAAGAATAATTAACATGTTTTTCTTCCAACAGGTTGATCACCGTAACTCCCAGATCAACGCCACGATGTCCGGAGGCTTAGATGTGCTTACCCTCAAAGAGGAGGATGTTACTAAATTCTTGGCTTGTAGCACCCACCTTGGGGCAAACAATACTGACTTCCAAATGGAGCAGTATGTCTTTAAACGCAAGGCTGATGGTAGGTATTGATCGATTCATGCAAGATTTTTGTTTAAACTAAGATGACTCTTCTGTGTACATGTATCTTTCATCTGTAAACTAGTGGTGAAAAGAAATAATGATTGAATAAAAATATTTTGTTTATTACACTTTGAATGATAAATGCATTCTTGTGTACGGCTGGCCTAGATTAAGTGGGTCATATCAGGAAGGGATGAATGCAACATAAAAAGGACAAGTCTTCTATGATGGTGGCTGCATTGCAGTTACTGGAGAAAGAACTGTTCTACAGATTTATTAATTACTTTTATAGTATGCTGATGGAACTTCACTGATGTAGTGCACATTGTGGGTCTGTACATACTTTATTTATCATTCTGCCAGTTTTTATCAGAGTTGTGCTTCTTTGAAATAATAAGCCATATGTTGTCTGCATAACTCGAGCGTCCAGAAACTCGGCTGATGCACTCATTTCACCCTTAACTTGCCCACCTGTGCTCAATAATTAACAGACTTTTATGAAACTTGGATCACAAAACAGTGACAGAACTGTACATGCTCATTTGTTTGGTCTATTTTTGGAGGAGGGGGTCAGTATTTGAATACAATTTTGATTTTATGCGGCCTGTTAAATCTCTCGAACTCTTTCGGGTGAACATTACCTGTGGTCTATAATGAGGTGAAAGCATTGTATCAAGAATTTTCTTTTTAAAATTTAATAACAAACAGCATTGTGACAACTTCATTAATAGAGGCGTCGCGATGCACTTGTACCACAGTTATTTATGTTCTACAGGTAGATTCACCATATATTTTTCCAGATTTTCGATACGTCGCGATCTGAATATTAGTGTATGCCGCTTCAGCCGAAATGTCTGCGAGACGTTCAATTTCATTGGCTGATCTCTAAACCCTCAGCCAATCGGCTGCGAGGATACAATTTTCACAAAGTATTCATAACAAAATGGCGGACTGCAGCAAGGAAATGATAATTTTTGATGATCTGGCAAGCTCCAAATCAAAAGTGTGGAAACACTTGGGTTCTCGTGTATCGACGGCTTATATATCTCATTTTGTTTATATTTTTAAATAAAGATGTATCGAATCGAGATATGTATCTAATTGTGGGTAAAGTGTATCGTGACAGCTCTATTATATATATACACTGGGTTAGAATAGAATTCTCACAATTTTGTCAATATTGCATGCTTTTATAATGCATTCTTGTGTACGGCTGGCCTAGATAAAGTGGGTCATATCAGGAAGGGATGAATGCAACATAAATAGTACAAGTCTTCTATGATGGTGGCTGCATTGCAGTTATTGGAGAAAGAATTGTTCTACAGATTTATTAATTAGTTTTATAGTATGCTGATGTAGTGCACATTGTGGGTCTGTACATACTTTATTTATCATTCTGCCAGTTTTTATCAGAGTTGTGCCTCTTTGAAATAATAAGCCATATGTTGTCTGCATAACTCGAGCGTCCAGAAACTCGGCTGATGCACTCATTTCACCCTTAACTTGCCCACCTGTGCTCAATAATTAACAGACTTTTATGAAACTTGGATCACAAAACAGTGACAGAACTGTACATGTTCATTTGTTTGGTCTATTTTGGGGGGAGGGGGTTAGTATTTGAATACAATTCTGATTTTATACGGCCTGTTCAATCTAGGGAACTCTTTGGGAGGGTGAAAATTACCTGTCGTCTATAATGAGGGGTAACCATCGTATTAAGAATTTTCTTTTAAAAATTGAATAACAAACAGCATTTTGACTACTTCATTAACAAGTTGTTTATATATAGAGACGTCACGATTCACCGTGAGGCACTTGTACCGCGATTATTTGTGTTTGATTCGATTCACCATATATTTTTCCGGATTTTCGGTACGTCACGATCTGAATATTAGTGTATACCGCTTCAGCGGAAACATCTGTGAGACATTCAATTTCATTAGCTGATCTCTAAACCCTCAGCCAATCGGCTGCGAGGATACAATTTTCACAAAGTATTCATGACAAAATGGCAGACTGCAGTAAGGAAAAGAAAATTTGTGATGATCCGACAAGCTTCAAATCAAAAGTGTAAAAACACTTCAGGTTCCCGTGTATCGACGGCTTATATATCTCATTTTGTTTA